AACTAAACAAGCCAAACAATATAAACTTAAAAAAACCAAAAAAATGGAAAAATAAAAACAACTAAAAATAAGCAAAATAATACTTGATATAAACTTTAATTTAAGATAAATAATACATAACTATAAAACAACTACGTTATTAAATAAATACACCGCTAAATAAAACCTAAGTGAAGAAGATGGGGATGGGGGACTGGCCATCCGTAGGGTGGAGAGTGCACCTACAGGAACCACTCTGTGGTTTCCTGTTTCAGTCCCCTAACCTAACCCACACACAGACATCAACAATGAGGCTCACAGCTCAAGTTGTGGCAGGCTATGAAGCACCAGTTCTCGGCAACAGGTCCTCAAACTGGGCCCCAGTCAGCCTCAAGTACCGCTGGAACCAACCTTCGTCCAGGGGGAGCTCCTGTAGGACACGGTGGAACTCGCTGTGCTCAGTGCGCCTCTGCAGGGTATCATGCACCCAGAACCGACGGCAGCGTTTGGCCCTCAGACGACTCTGGAACCTCCAGAGCAGGTACAGTGGAGTGATCGTGGTGATCTCAGCCACAGTCGATGAGAGAAAGGAATGGCGGAAGTAATGTTGTTGTTGTTGTTGTTGTTGTTATCTAGTGAAAATGGGCAGGCTCATACTCGCGCGTCTGACGCGATAACGCGAATTTTACATTATGGCCCAGCGTCCAAACTCAAGCGAGTAGCGCGATGAATTTTCATTTACTCACATCAGTAAATCGCGCTCATCGCGTTTGATGGGAACACAGCATGAGAGTGATTTATGATCTCATTTCTCAAATCACTCATGTTGCTGAAGACTGAACTGTGGACAACCCAACAAAACTCTTAACAATTTTTTCACTATTAAGTCTTTATTGATATTGACATAAATGTTTATGGTATGTACATCACAAAAATGTCTACATTAAGATTTCATTTCACTGTCAAAGGAAGTGACATCAACTTTTGTTGATCTACAGAACTGCTGGAATATGGAGACCTGAAATTTACTGATGACATAGATTGTATATTGCATTTGTTGACACCTTCCCTGTGATAATATACTTAAAATAGCTGAAGACATTAAAATGTCTTCTACTTGACTCTGTTTCTTGCAAATATAATTCTTCATTAGACGTGACTTCTACAGCTATACAATGACATTTGCAATAGTGGGCAGAATCTTTAGACTTTTTATCTTCAAATACTCATTTTCATAAAATATTAAAGATTATCATTCGGAATGTGCACTGGTTCGTTTGCCAATGCTCAAATGACAAATATCAATATTATTTTGGCAAAAACACAGAAACACTCATCAGTGACTTAAATCATCACCACATGTACCAAAGAAAAGATCACCACACACACACACACACACACACACACACACACACACACACACACACAAACCACACAATTAACCATGATGTTACAGAAATACACTAACAGTGATTCAAAGAAAACAGTCATAACATCTGGAAAGAAAAATCAGGAGTTTCATGAAACACTCAGTAACATTAAATAGATCACAGCACTACAGATTCTGATATATTCCACAGCAGAGCAACAAAATCAGTACAACACACTCGGTGCAAAGAAGGTACAGTTCTTTTTTTCTTCTGAAACATTTTTTTCTGCTTTTTGTAGGCGTGAACATGTTGAGATTGCAACATTCCCAATAAATACATCATACATGTTTGTGTCTTTCTTTCAACAGCAAAAAAACAAACAAAAACAAAAAACATTTTAATTCCAGAGGAGGATAGACCACACTCTTAACATCATGCTTATAATCTTCAGTTGTCCTGGAAATAGTAGTACTTATTAAGTGTGACTTTGTGAAGTTTCATCTACCACAGAAAGCCGTAACTTGTCCAGCAGACAGCTGCAGCAGGTTAAAAGGGTTTTTTTCTGGGGCTGGCTACATGCTGACAGGGCAGCTTGGACAACAATGTCTTGAACCTCTACTCAGCTGCATACAGTTCTTACTCCAAACGCTGAGTGAAGTTTTCTGGGAACAGTCCTTTGTGAGCACCAGCTCCGAGTGTTAACCAGTCACTTTCTTTGATCCCTGTCAGCCAACCGGCATCCTACAACAACAAACACAAACATCACTCTCAACACTCTTCATCTCTTCCTTTCAGGATGCTGTTGGACTTAAACTACTGGACTTGTATGGGTCACCAGTTGTTCTCACCTGATCCTCTACTGAAGCTGTAGGAACCACCAACACTATATCACCTCTTTTCAGCTCGAGCTCATCTGAATTCGCAGCCTCAAAGTCGTGCATTGTCTCCACCTGCAGAGAGAGAAATACCATCATCCAATTAATCGTGGTAACCATTTCTTTACAAAATAATAATAACAACAATATAATACAAATGTATTTTTCAATTTGCTGATTTCAGCTGATTGTCAGCTGTTAGTATCTAGACGAAACCCACCTTGTACAGGAAATCATCAGGAAGTCCCGACACTCCACCACTTGGACTCATGTGTTTGATAGGCTGGTTTCCAGCTGTCACACCGTTGTCACTGATGGCAGTGGGAGAGATGATGTCAGCATCACGGTCATCATCGCCTTCATTACTGGAGGCAGGCTCAATCACAACAGAGGGGATTGGCATCTTTTCCTACAGAAGATAAAAAAACATTTAGTTGTCACATGAATAACTTTTTACTTTCTCTCAGTGATGATAATAATAAAGAAGAAAAACATCACCCAGACACAAAAAAATGTTTATGTAGAGAACTCAGAACTTATTTCCAAAACTTTCAAGGGCCTCAGTCTCAGTTTTTCATTCGAGTTAGTCTTTATCCTTTGTATCATCTCTTTATCTTAATATGCCTAATTTATAATAATAAGCAATGTAATGATATAATTTATAGGGGATGTTTAATGAGTGTATTCATGTTTATATTCTCAAACACAATTTTTTTTTTCTAGTTTAAGCTCCGCATTTGTATTTTTATCAACCATTTTTTAGTTGTTGTAGGATGGTGTTTAATTAAAAGTGATTTAATTATTACTTAAGTCACTCCATAACCAGTAATGATAGATCACCAGAACCGTCAGGAAACATGGAGGATTATAAGCCAGCAGCAACAAATGACTAAATTAACTGAACAAGTTGAAGGAACTGACAGGATTACACATTGCACTGGAGATGGATGGATGGATGGATGGATGGATGGATGGATGGACAGACACTTTTGATTTGGGAAAATGTTTCATTATACTCACTCAGGACTGATGAAATGACAGGGTTTGAGTTAGTGATTTTTGTTTTTGTATTAATGGTCACAATCAAAGTAAAGTGAGAGTTACCGATGGAGCTGCTTCATCTGGAGATGGTTTTGCTTCATCCACAGGAGGAATCTGTGCCAAATCACAGAAATCATTTCATTAAAACAGAAACAGAAACTTTTTCAGAATCACATAATCCGTGGTCAGTAGCTGTTGGCATCACAGATTCTGCTGCAGTATTTCACTTCATTAATATTAGAGATAAAACATCAGCTAATGGAGCATAGGGGTCATCACAGTACACAGTGTAACCTCAGCAAACGATGAAAAAGTTTTTGAGTGAGTCAGAAATAAACAGTCTTATAAAAGACAATTTCCACACATTGACACATTCTTGTTAATCAAGAAATTTTAATTCCAAGATTAATTATAAACCTTTAACATCAGCAGCTGTCATAACTGTAAAAAGTTCAATTTAAGTGTTTTGTCGCTGCAACATAAAGGATGTTGTCATGTTGTCTTGAATCGGAGCACTGCATCAAGGATGTCTCTTCTTCACAGTAACACATCTTTAACAACAATAAACAAACATCCATTATTTATTAATGACAAAAACTACACTCGGAGCAGAACTACACACCTCACCAAGCTCCGCCTTCTCAGTTCCGGGAGATCCAACAGTCAACTTTGGACAAAAAATAACATTTAATGACATCATTCACGAAGAAAAGACAAACTCACAGAGACAAAATCAAGGACACAAACTCACTGAGACAAACTCAAAGAGACAAACTCACAGACACAAAATCAAAGACAAGAATTCAAAGAGACGAACTCACAAAGACGAAATCAAAGATACGAATTCAAAGAGACGAACTCACAGAAATGAAATCAAAGACAAGAATTCAAAGACAGGAATTCAAAAAGACGAACTCAGACACAAAATCAAAGAAACAAACTCACAGAAACAAATTCAAAGACATGAACTCACAGACACGAAATCAGACAGGAACTCAAAACAACAGATATAAACAATAAATTCAATTCAATAATTTCTAATGTAAATGCACAATTTAATAATTCACACATGATGGTGATGGTCTTCATAATGATGGTGGTGATGATGATGATGATGGTCATCATAATGATGATGATGACAAAGATGATCATAACAATGGTGATGATGATGATGATGATGATGATGATGATGGTGATGATGAAGAGGAGATCACACATTGATGCAGTCAGATATTGTGATTAATTTGTTAACTCACATCAGATTTCTTCTCTGTCACGCTGACAGAACTTCCTGTATCTTGATCACCAACCGACAGACCTGGAGGTTCTTCGATCTGTTTTCCAGCAGGAGAACTTGGAGGTTCAGCACCAGCTTTAGGTTCCTCCTCCTCCTCGTCTCCAGCAGAGAGAGCTGTAGGTTCCTCACCAGCAGGGGAAGCTGTAGGTTCCTCACCAACAGAGGAAGCTGTGGGTTCCTCACCAGCAGAGGAAGCTGTGGGTTCCTCACCAGCAGGGAGAGCTGCAGGTTTGTCTTGTTCTTCAGAAACTTCTGTGTCCAAGGCTTCTGGAGCCTCAGTTGTTTCAGCAGTCACTTCGTTCTTTTGTAAAAAAGATGGCGATCAAACACAAAACTGTTCAACTGTGACCTTTTAAATCAAATTCAATTAAAGAATTCTGAACATCTCAATTGACCTCTCATTAATTCCAGTCCTGCCCTCATATCTGCTCATGTTCTTCATCTTAAACTTCATCAGCGTTCAGTCCCTCCTCACCATTAGATACAAAACATGGAAAAGAAATGATGACAGGCAGAACAGAGCTGATGTCATGACTACATTACTTATTAATGAATTATATAAAAACAAAACGTAAATATGTTAAAATTATCTGTATCATGCACCAGCAAGGGCTGTAACGCTTCGTGTGTACCTGCCAAAACATTAGTATGGTGGTCATGGTTAGATGGTCACAGCTTGGTGGTCATGACTGGGTGGTCACAGCTTGGTGGTCATGATTGGGGGAGGTCACAGTTTGGTGGTCTTGGTTTGATGGTCACGGTTTGGTGGTTACGGTTGGGTGGTCACGGTTTGGTGGTCACGGTTCGGTGGTAACAGGTTGGTGGTCACAGTTTGGTGGTCATTGTTTGGTGATCACAGTTTGGTGGTCATGGTTTGGTGGTCATGGTTTGATAGTCATGATGTGGTGGTCATTGTTTAGTGGTCACAGTTTGGTGGTCATGGTTGGGTGGTCATGTTTACGTGGTCATGGTATGGTGATCATACAGTCTCTGATGTAGGACTTAAGTTCATAAGCATGAGTTCTGCCTGGACACATTTGGCAACATGTTGCCAACATGCTGTAAGGTCAGTCACACTATAGAGAACATAGATACTATTGGTCATAATAGATTTAATTTTATGGCGCTACTAAATGAACCCACCAACTCTTTCCATACATGGAGGCAGAACAAATAACACACAAACATATATGATGTTGTGTTTCACAGGATTAACTGAGTCTGTACATGATTGTGAACAGGTGAGATTTTTGAAGATGTCCACAGATTTCTGCCAGAGGGTGGAGGCCACCACACTGAAGGTTCTGCCCCTGAAAGTCCGTAGGTTGACACAGGAGGTGTTGAGCAGACAAACATCTGAGAACGTGAGATTTCAGTACGGGGTATATGTTCAGGTCTGGAAAGTACTGGGGGGGCGAGTTTTACAATATTCCATATCTTTCATATATCATGATAAATTACATTTAATAAACCTGCTCTTACTTTTCCAGCTTTTCCTGCGAATGCACCTTCTTCTTAAACATTTATGTAACGTCGGCTTTTCAACATCCAGCACTGACACTTCCTTGATGTCCACAGTCTTTGAAGGTAATGTGATAACTGTCATGTTGAGAATACACTTCAGCATTTAGCACTTTAGACATTTAATTTATAGGTTACCTATTTAATCAAATAGGTTTTTCGAAAGTTGTTTATTGAATTTCTTTCTTGGGCTCTCACCTCGCCCCAAACACAAGGGCACACACAGACACTAAAACTGGCCTCAGCTCCAGAACATGGGCTCTACTTGGGCAGCAGGAAGCAAGCACTGGGTCTAATCTGTGTAATGGCAGCAACACTACATTTGGTGATCCAGCAGAGTCAGGCCGGTTCAGGATCTGCTACAGCCACCTGCCCTCCTCCTGGTGGAAGTATGACCTACATGCATCTATGCCAACAGAACTGCTACCCCCTATTATTGGACTGAAAAAGCCAGCCTGTGATCTGAACCGCAGACACCAGCCGAAGTGTTGGATTTCTTCATGCTCATCTGACTGCCTGCTTGGGTCTCAAACTAACAACTTGATTTCTCCAAGCAGCAAAATACTTCCTTCCTACAAAACCCAAAACCAGTGAAGTTGGCACGTTGTGTAAACGGTAAATAAAAACAGAATACAATGATTTGCAAATCCTTTTCAACCTATATTCAATTGAATACACTGCAAAGACAAGTTACTTAATGTTCGAACAGGTAAACTTTGTAATTTTTTGCAAATATTAGCTCATTTGGAATTTGATGCCTGCAACATGTTTCAAAAAAGCTGGCACAAGTGACAAAAAAGACTGAGAAAGTTGAGGAATGCTCATCAAACACTTATTTGGAACATCCCACAGGTGAACGGGCTAATTGGGAACAGGTGGGTGCCATGATTGGGTATAAAAGCAGCTTCCCTGAAATGCTCAGTCATTCACAAACAAGGATGGGGCGAGGGTCACCACTTAGTGAACAAATGCGTGAGCTGATTGTCGAACAGTTTAAGAACAACATTCCTCAACGAGCTATTGCAAGAAATTTAGGGATTTCATCATCTACGGTCCGTAATATCGTCAAAAGGTTCAGAGAATCTGGAGAAATCACTGCACGTAAGCGACAAGGCCGAAAACCAACATTGAATGCCCGTGACCTTCGATCCCTCAGGCGGTACTGCATCAAAAACCGACATCAGTGTGTAAAGGACATCACCACATGGGCTCAGGAACACTTCAGAAAACCACTGTCAGTAACTACAGTTCGTCGCTACATCTGCAAGTGCAAGTTAAAACTCTACAATGCAAAGCGAAAGCCATTCATCAACAGCACCCAGAAACGCCGCCGGCTTCGCTGGGCCCGAGCTCATCTAAGATGGACTGATGCAAAGTGGAAAAGTGTTCTGTGGTCTGACGAGTCCACATTTCAAATTGTTTTTGGAAACTGTGGACGTCGTGTCCTCCGGACCAAAGAGGAAAAGAACCATCCGGACTGTTATAGGCGCAAAGTTCAAAAGCCAGCATCTGTGATGGTATGGGGGTGTATTAGTGCCCAAGGCATGGGCAACTTACACATATGTGAAGGCACCATTAATGCTGAAAGGTACATACAGGTTTTGGAGCAACATATGTTGCCATCCAAGCAACGTCTTTTTCATGGACGCCCCTGCTTATTTCAGCAAGACAATGCCAAGCCACATTCTGCACGTGTTACAACAGCATGGCTCCATAGTAAAAGAGTGCGGGTACTAGACTGGCCTGCCTGTAGTCCAGACCTGTCTCCCATTGAAAATGTGTGGCGCATTATGAAGCGTAAAATACGACAACGGAGACCCCGGACTGTTGAACAACTTAAGCTGTACATCAAGCAAGAATGGGAAAGAGTTCCACCTGAAAAGCTTCAAAAATTGGTCTCCTCAGTTCCCAAATGTTTACTGAGTGTCGTTAAAAGGAAAGGCGATGTAGCACAGTGGTAAAAAGGCCCCTGTGCCAACTTTTTTGCAATGTGTTGCTGCCTTTAAATTCTAAGTTAATGATTATTTGCAAAAAAAAAAATAAAGTTTCTCAGTTTGAACATTAAACATCTTGTCTTTGCAGTGTATTCAATTGAATATAAGTTGAAAAGGATTTGCAAATCATTGTATTCTGTTTTTATCTACGATTTACATAACGTGCCAACTTCACTGGTTTTGGGTTTTGTACATGGACTCTGATATCATCTGGGTATGCTGTACAACAGTTTGCCTGAGAGGCATCTGGTACCAAAACACTTATTAATTTAGTTAAAGTTAGACATTGTGTAGGAATTTATCTGCAGATGAAAATTGCTTATAGGACAGGATTGGATCCATCTTTCATATTTGCACTGCTCTCTGTTCAAAGAAACGGATACTGACGGGTGAGGGGGTGGTTCCATTGTTCTGAACTAACACCATGATGTGAGTCCCAAACCAGTTATGCTATACTTACTGTTACAGTTAGAAGAAAACCTTTCAGATTATAGTTTTGAGGTTAAAAAAATCACTTTAGAACAAACAATAAGTAGAAAAGTTTCACATCTGCCATCATCCAAATTAAGCAAATAACAGTACATATAGGACATTAACACAGCATTCAAAGTCACATGATGACATTTAAAACTCACCATCTTATCAAAATCAGCAAAAAATGATGGGACAGTGGCATCCTTCGAAGCGCAGGCATTAAAAATTGAAAAGAAGAAGAGTCACAACTGACAATCAGGACCTGCAAACACATGATTATAAAGCATTCATAGAGAACATTAAAATAGAGAACGTTACTGAAAACAAGGCTTCTGAGGATTTGATTGGGTAAGTGAGGTCAGTGTCTAATATACCAAAACTCTGCAGTAACCTTTGGCCATCGAAGTGACCTTTGACCTCTGCTGTGACCTCTACAGTGGCCCTGTTCCACTGAAAGATAAAACTGATAAGCTAGGTAGAAAATAAACACTGGTCACTGAAAGTTAACTACTGTCTGAAACACTGAAAACTACAGCTGGAAGGCTGAATGCTAAAAGCAACAGTCAAAAATTGCATCAAACTAAAATCAAAACTTCTTGTGGACTGACGTTGCTCTGAACAGTCTGGAATTAAAATGTGATGCATGCTGTGATCACTGTCATCAGGACAAACTACAGATCAGTGTTTTGGCTCGACAAAAAGAGCCATAAAAATAAAGTTGACTTCACTAAAAAAAGAAAAAAAAAGTTTAGTTTCAAAAATTACCTGCGAGAATCCATTAAATGTATTGGTCACCTAAATTAAATCGCAAAAACATTAATTAGCATTTGAAGCATTCAGGTTAAACAAGTCTTACATGAGTAGTGAAGATTGATTTGATGTGAAAATAAAAGTATGGAATGAACAAGCAGACAATGCAAGCGGGAGGCAGGAGTAGGAGCTCAGGCTGGGATCCAGGTTTCAGGACAACTACTTTCACTGTTTCTCAATCTGTGGGAGGGTAGACGACAGAAAATCTACTCTAATCTACCACACTGAGGACTGCAGAATGTCAAGTACCTCTTCCTTTTCTGTATCTAGCTCTTGGTACAACTTTCCAAATCTCCGGTTTGCAGCTTCATCTTCGGACATGTCTGAATTTTCTGGTTCTTTATGAATTCTGGTAACATTTACATCTTTGATTGCTTCTGCCGTTCCAGACACAGCAGCAGATGCCGAGTTTTGTTGGGTGACAGAAGAGTCGAAGCCACTGCTGTGACTACCTTCAGTCCCTGCAAAGGCCTCTGGAAAACTGCTGGCAAACAAGTCTGTGTCCCACCCACCTCTCGCATTCACAGCGGACCCAACTCTATCTTCTCCTGAGGTCTCAGTAAATGGCTCAAATTCAAAACCACCCCCCTTGTCTCCTCCCTGTCTTTCAGCTGAGGGAACTAAATCAAACGCACCTCCTCCCTGTGCTTCAGCAAAAGGATCTGAATCAAACGCACCTCCTCCCTGTGTTTCAGCTGAGGGAACTGAATCAAATGCACCTCCTCCCTGTGTTTCAGCAAAAGGATCTGAATCAAACGCACCTCCTCCCTGTGTTTCAGCTGAGGGAACTGAATCAAACGCACCTCCTTCCTGTGTTTCAGCAAAAGGATCTGAATCAAACGCACCTCCTCCCTGTGTTTCAGCTGAGGGAACTGAATCAAACGCACCTCCTACCTGTGTTTCAGCAAAAGGATCTGAATCAAATGCACCTCCTTCCTGTGTTTCAGCAAAAGGATCTGAATCAAACGCACCTCCTCCCTGTGTTTCAGCTGAGGGAACTGAATCAAATGCACCTCCTCCCTGTGCTTCAGCAAAAGGATCTGAATCAAACGCACCTCCTCCCTGTGTTTCAGCTGAGGGAACTGAATCAAACGCACCTCCTTCCTGTGTTTCAGCAAAAGGATCTGAATCAAACGCACCTCCTCCCTGTTCTTCAGCAAAAGGATCTGAATCAAACACACCTCCTCTCTGTGTTTCAGCAAAAGGATCTGAATCAAACACACCTCCTCCCTGTGTTTCAGCTGAGGGAACTGAATCAAACGCACCTCCTTCCTGTGCTTCAACAAAAGGATCTGAATCAAACGCACCTCCTTCCTGTGTTTCAGCAAAAGGATCTAAATCAAACGCACCTCCCCCCTGTGTTTCAGCAAAAGGATCTAAATCAAACGTACCTCCTCCCTGTGTTTCAGCTGAGGTCACTGAATCAAATGCACCTGCTCCTTGTGTTTCAGCTGAGGTCACTGAATCAAACACACCTCCTCCCTGTGTTTCAGATTTAAAAATGCTTTTGTGTCCTTCCCCTCGACTTTCAGAATATTTTCTGCAACTTGATGTGACATCAGTTTGGTTTCCTGTTGGCTTTTCTTCACCTGAACACTTCCTGTCTGCTGCATTGCTCTCTGGGGAAATGTTTCCTACCATCTGATACCAATCTGCTGCTACACCATTGTTTTCAGATCCCCATCCCTCTGAGACATTCACTGGAGAACTATCTTCATAAGAAAGTTCATCATCTGCACTTGCCCAGCCTCCACCCTGACCTCCATCACCCCACTCCTCAGCAGTCTCATATTCAGACCCAGACCCATCTGGAGACCTGGACCACTTGTCTACTCTGTCCTCTGTGCTGTCCTCAATCTGTTCACCGTACTCATTGGTGAATATAAGACCTGGGGTAGACTTCCTGCGGTCTTCCTGCCCTGCTGTATCTCCCACGGAATCTGCATGTCTTGTCTCATCTTCATCTCCTCTGACTGCAGAGGGATGAAGGTCGGGGTTACTTTGAGAGTTCCAGCTGCTAACCTCATCTTGAGCTGCTGTGGTTGGCTCACTGTCCTGAGGATGTGTAGTAGCTGTGTCTGCACCTGGCTGCCAGTCATCTGCCTGGGGCCTGCCCTGAGCCCCACCCTGTGCCCCGCCCTGTGCCCTCTCCAGCCCTACAGCAGGGGCCTCGGCTCCTGAAGCAGCATCTCCGTTTGCTGACAATGAACCAAAGTCAGCGGACCAGTCAGCGACGAAGCCAGCATCTGCAGCCTGCTCGGGAAAAGCAGGGATTGTAGGGTTAAAGTGTGACCCCGCCCCCACACAAAGACAAAGACAATAGACAGGAACGATGTGAGAATCCAAGAACTGGTTGCACAAAGACAGACTGATCATAACTGTTATTAAAAAACATGTTCCTGACTGCTGTCAGTAGAACCATCACTGTGAATTCTGGGTAAATTAAGACTAAGCGGTTATCTCTGAAGAGACAAGATTCACCTGCATCAAAATAAGTTTAATATCAATTTTCAGATATACTGTATATCAGTGGCGGCTGGCTCACTTTAAGTTTACATCATAACATGTGTCATATTTTAGCGAGGCAGTAACTTATAAAAGGAACATTTAATTCAAGCTGTTTTTCAACCACACTCATGACATAGAACCACAGCAACACACACCTCAATGATTTTCAGATGGTTTAAACTCCTGAACTGTACAAACAGTGAAAATGAGCTATATGTTTTATGGTAACACTCTGTCAGAAGACAGGGGTCGCCAATGCCGGTGTGTATTTCCAAAGCGCTGTCAATCACAAAGGGGTTCAGCCTTTTAGACAATTCCTCCAATCATTATGCAGACACCAAGCGTCCTCTCCTGCCTACCGCTCCATTAGGTCCCAGGGATGCTGAGCCTTTATCCAATGAGCATCTCTCTTTGCTGCATGAAAAAAACCTGCTCAGCGCTGTCTCATAGAAATTCTTGGACGCTCTGCATCCACTGTGCTGACACGAGCATGTATGACAGGGAGGTCGCGTTTGAAAACTGGTCATGATGTGAAATGCATCCTAAGGCACCTTTTAAGCAATGTAAATTCTTATTTTAATGTAAAGTCAATAGTGCATATTTGACCATTTCTTCTATGAAATTTTAGGGGAAGTTCAGCCTCCCTTGTTGTCTCAGAGCAATCGCCCCTGGTATACATACACTGGTGTCAACAGAAGAAAGGATCTCTGAGATGACGGAGAAATGTTGTTTGTTACAACCCCTCCGAGGTAAACTGTGACTTCTGTAAATAAAATTATCTTTGTGCGAACAGAACCGACTGAAAACAAGAATCAAGTGGATGGTTCTGTAAATGTACTGAAGTTCTATCAGTAATTCATAAGGTTTTAGTGATGATGATGATGATGATGAAGAACAGATGTTGTGTTTTACTTACAGGCTCAGCTGTTTGTGTGTTTGCCTAAAAAAATGGACAGAAGATGGTTCATATGTTCAGAGATCTGTGTACTGTCATTTAATATACTGATTGATTTTACGTCATTCATACTTTTATCTCCAAATAAATTTTACCCCCCAAAAAAACTGGATCATAAATTTAGTGAATGTTTTTGATCGAACACCAACAGACAGATTTTACTCACCGACCACATATCCCAAGGAACAGCTGTCTGAAAGAGGCAGAGCACATGTTCATGAAGCTCATGGTGTCAACACGGTTTGTACAGAAAACAGATAAACATCATATCAATAACCAATATATATATCAATATCCAATAAATATCAATAACCAATAAATATCAATAATCAATAAACATCAACACAAACCCCTGATGGGATGAACTGAAGAATAATGAGACTGAAAAATCTCTGCCTTGACAACCGGCGCAGGCTCCCCCCTCTGCCTACAATATTGCTCGCCAACGCACAGTCTATTAGGAACAAAGTAGACAAGTTGGAAGCTTTGGTCAAGTGTAAGAGGGAAATCAGAGAAACCTGTCTTTTAGCTTTCACTGAAACGTGGCTCAGTGACGCTGACCGGGACGAAGATCCTGACATCACAGGGAAGCGTCATGGAGGAGGCGTATGTCTTTACATTAATCGCAGGTACTATAATACCATTGTTGTTCGAGAGAGACTTTGTACATCTGACATTGAACTGTTGACCGTCTCTCTCCGTTCGCATTACCTGCCTCAAGAATTTCAGCAACTCTTCTTCACTATTGTTTACATTCACCCCAAAGCTAATGTTACTACGGCAACGCAGCTGATCACTTACTTCACCCACAGGTTTCACTCAATCTGCACAGAGGTACCTAAATTCACACTTGGGGATTTTGATCACTGCTCCCTGGATTCGACCCTTAAAACCTATGAACAACTTGTGCAACTACTAAAAATAACTCTATCCTGGACTTGTGTTATGGCTTGGTGGGCGGTGCTTACAAGTCGCTTCCTATGCCATCTCTGGGAGCACCATATCATAACGGCATCTACCTAATGCTCACCTACAAGCCTTGCTACAGGCACCTTGAGCGCACGGAAAAGACAGTCAAAACCTGGTCTGAGGATGCTGTCTTATCTCTTCAAGCATGTATGGATTGTACTGATTGGGACTGTTTTTTTGACACCTGTAATGACGATGTTGATTAAGTCTCGGATGTTGCATCATCTTATATCTCCTTTTGTGTAGACTCTATTATACCCACCAAAAAGGTCATTATATATCCTAATAATAAACCCTGGGTGACCAAGAAGCTTAAATCGGTACTTAACTAAAAGAAAAGAACTTTTTACTCAGGGGACCAAAAAGAAATAATGTTGCCAGGGAAGTTAAAAATGAAATCTTCAAGGCCAAAATAGAGTACAAAAAGAAAATAGAAATGCAATTCAGCAGCAATACTATGAGGACTGCCTGGCAGGGTATCAAGGCAATGGCATCTATTGATCACTATACTGATGTAGCAGAGGATCACATCAGAATTAATGGGGTTCATGATACTGATCTGTCAAACTGTTTTAATTCTTTCTTTTCTCGTTTTGAAAAACCTGATGTTGTTGTTTATGTCTCTAGGGTAAGGAACTCTCTTGTACCCCACAAATCCTTAGTGATATCGCAGGAGCATGTAGCTGCCTTATTAAAGAGGACAAATATTAGGAAGGCTGCAGGCCTGGATACCACTGGTGGGCAAGTCCTACATCACTGTGCCAATCAGGTTAGTTGAGTCTTCTCAAAAAATTTTCAATTATGCGCCGATAGCTGTGTGTCGCCCTCACTTAGGAAGACTTCCACAATAATTCCCATTCCTAAAGTAAAGAGAAACAGTGATTTCAATGAGTTCAGGCCAGTCGCCCTGACATCATTAATTATTAAACACTTTGAAAGAATTTTAAAAGATGAGATTGCGTCCCTGGTTGCGGAAAATCTGGATCGGGCTGGGAGGGGGGTGAGTATGCTAAAATGTTCAACCTAAATAAGACCTATACACATTTGGAGAAACCAAACTCTCATGCTAGACTCTTGTTTGCCAACTTCTCATCAGCCTTCATTAAGATGCAACCGCACATTTCAATCGATCACCTCAGTGTGCATTTTAATCTACCTCATCAGCTTCTAGTATTAATTCTTAACTTTTTAACAGGGAGGAAACAGCGGGTTTTAGTTAATGGAGTCATGTCAGATGTCCTGATTTCCAACACAGGCTCAACTCAAGGGTGTGTTCTCTCTCCTCTTCTTTTTATTCTATACACTGATAGCTGCAGGTCTGTCAAAGAGGAAAGCTACTTAGTCAAATTTTCAGATTACATGGTTCTGTCCCTTCTCCAAGGTCCAGCAGCAGGTCATGGCAGTTCTTTTCCAGCCTTTATCAGTTGGTGTGACTATAACTCTGTGGACCTTAATGTGTCTAAAACTGAGGAGCTAATCACTGACTTTGGCAAGAATCGTACCAAGCCTGTTGCAAACTTCATTCATGGCAAGGAGGTGGAGATTGTTGATTCATATAAATACTTGGGAACAGTATTTTATTCCCAGCTAAGATTTGATGTGAACACAAACATTATTGCAAAGAAGGGTCAACAGAGGATTTATCTACTTAGGAAGTTGAACTCCTTCAATGTTAGCAAAAACATTAAGTTTTTGTTTCACAAGTCCTTTATTGAAAGCCTTCTGACCTTATCGTTCATTTGTTGGTTTAACGGCCTGTGAGTAAGAGATAAAAATTGCCTGAATGGTATTGTGAAGGTCTGTTCCAAGATAATTGGTGTGAAGGAAGATTTGAGTTCCCTTTGGGACAAACGTGTGGTCAGAAAAGCAAAGAGAATCATTGCTCACCATGACCATATTCTGTCCACTGAGTTTTCACTTATGCCCTCAGGGCGTCGCATTACAGCTTCATCTAGGAAAACTAACCGCTACTCCAGATCTTTTATCCCATCTGCTATCAGACTTTTAAACCTTGATCCAAGTCTATGGAAGTGACTTGAGGGATTCTTAGCTTGTGTACTTGGGTGCACTGTTTTTTTATGTTTTTTATGATGTATCATCAGATCTTATTATTGTCTTGTGAATTTAATGTGATGTACTACACCCTGTCTTTGATGTTCATCAGACTTATTATTGTCTTGTGTATTATTGCTGCATATTCTTGTGTACTTTTGTTGTATCATTAGACTTACGACTGGAAGTGCTGTGTATTTCTTGTGTGTTCCCTGTGGGAGACAGAGGAGGTCGCCTGCGGGCCTCACTGACATCAACTAATTGCTGCTGTGGATGTATGATTGTGTGCATGGATATCTGTGGGCCTCGTGAACTGTCAAACTAAATTGCCCTTTGGGACAAATAAAGTTGTTTTGATTTGATTGATTTGATTTGATTTGATTTTTGGCATTTCACACCTGTTGTGTTTTAATGAACTTGTCCTACAGATTTGATCAGATTGGCTCCAAACTTGGTTTATGAGCCTGACCACCTTGTGACCAAAAGTTATTAGAGGATCTGCCCAGTGTTGAATGGTGCGCCCACTGCGGAACGTTGAATTTTGAGGTCTCGCCATGAAAAACAAAATTGCTATAACTTTGGCGTAAGTGGTCCAATCTCAACCACACTTCACATCAGTCATATTAGTCCCACCCTGAACACAAGTACATAACCATTTTTCCTGCTAATCATAGCGCTACCTAGTGGTGAAAGGAAATGCCATGTTTTACACTTCAATGTGCTCCTCCTAGCAGGTTGACCATATCCAGCTCAGATGTGGTCATAAAGGCCTTAAGAACTTGGTTATGTTATATTGTGAAGATGGTGAAATGTTACCAAACGGCGTGGCCAAAACAGCACGGTGAAGTTGGATGTTTCGCCAAAACACAGGAAATGGCATTAACTGAAGTGTACTTGGTTCAATCTGCCTGAAACTTTATACACTACTTAATAGTCTAGGCCTGGACATGTGATATGAGTTTCGTCAAGGGGCGTCGCAAAATGGATTGGCCACACCCTTTAAAGTGCAGCCCCAGCCGCATGTTCTACAGACATGCACAAAAATTGGTACATACATGTATCATGCCCAGATGCACAAAAAAGTCTCTTGGACCCATTGCCTGAACCCAACAGGAAGTTGGCCATTTTGTATTCCGTGGTCATTTTTGGTGTTTCATACGTGTTGTGATTTAACAAACTTGTCCTACAGATTAATCAGATTTGCTCCAAACTTGGTTTATGTGAGCCTGACTACGTTGTGACCAAATGTTATTACAGGATCTGCCCGCTGCGGAGTGTTGAATTTTGAGGTCTCGCCATGAAAAAAGAAACTGCTATAACTTTGGCGTAAATGGTCCAATCTCCACCAAACTTAACATCAGTCATGTTAGTCCCGCCCTGGAAACATTTATATGACAATATTCCGTGATAGTCATAACGCCACCTTTAGTCGAAAGGAAGTGCTTCTTATCAGACACTTATCTTTGGATTAACATGAAATTTCAATGCTGTGTTCTATATTTGATGTACACAAACATGACATATCATTAGTATCCATGCCCGCTGCAGAGGGTTTAATTTTGATGTCTCGCCATGAAACAGCAAATTGCTATGACTTTGGAGTAAATGGTCCGATGTCCACCAAACTTCACGATTTATTTTAGTCCAACCCTGAACACATTTATATTTCAAAATACTGTGATAGTCATAGCGCCACCTAGTGGCGAAAGGAAGTACTTCTTATCAGACACTTATCTTTGGATGAGCCTGAAGTTTCAATGCTGTGGTGTATGTTTTTTTAATTAAGCCATTAATGCATTTCTCCAAAATGTTTCTGCAGTTGACCAATATGAAGTGACAGTGCTTCCAAAGAAGAGCGTGGCCCAATAAAGATTTGGACATAAATGCATGAGCAACTGTCTGATTGTCATCAAATCTGTTGATAATCTTAGAGGCAAGAGTACTGAACTATCAAAGGTCCTAATTCTACCCAGCTTTCAAATCTCAAATGTCCATGCTGGCTTGAACTCTGGAATTGCCGCTTGTGGCTATATTTACTATTACTATCATAATTAAGTAAATTTAAGTACATCATGTTGCCGATAGCAACATTCAAAGTTAAAGAGTGAAAAAGTAAAGTCAGACCAGTGTTTGCCTGACAACATTAAAAATATTTAAGTAGTAACTACTCACGTTCAGAAACTTTATTTCACACTTTAACAGCAGAGGTTTTACTTTTAAATAACTAGTCGCCTGCTTTGACACAACCACCGCAGTTCTAAAGTAGAGCATGGATTTTGTTTGATTTTACCAACGGTAACATTATTCATGTTTTCAGCAGTGAAAGTAAATTGAAGCTCTTGCTGGTGCGACTACCAAACCTTCATCACTTCATATTGCTCTCTTCCCGCCCAAACTTTACAATTTCCTGAGCACAGGCATTCCATTTTTAAACACCTGTATGGTTTAGATAAAAACTAGAAACACGACATTATTTAAAGCAAATTATTTATCACAACATTCTACGTGCCACAGAATAGTTTGTCCTGAAAACTGATCTGTCCTCAGTGTCTCTTCCTGAGGTTTCACAGGGTCCAGGGATAGAGGGCCCAAGGACACAGGGTCCAGGGACACAGGTTCCAGGGACATAGGGTCCAAGGACACAGGGTCCAGGGAAACAGGCCCCAAGGACACAGGGTCCAGGGACACAGGGCCCAAGAACACAGGATCCAGGGACACAGGATCCATGGACAGAGGGTCAAAGGACACAGGATCCAGGGACAGAGGGTCAAAGGACACAGGGTCCAGGGACAAAGGCTCCAAAGACAGAGGGACAGAGACAGAGGGTCCAAGTACACAGGGTCAAAGGACAGAGGGTCCAGGGATAGAGGGTCCAAGGCCAGAGAATCCAGGAACAGAGGGTACAAGTGTCCAAGGACAGAGGATCCAGGGACACAGGGTCCAAGGACACAGGTTCCAGGGACAGAGGGTCCAAGGACACAGGGTCCAAGGACACAGTGTCCAGGAATAGAGGTTCCAAGGACAGAGAGTCCATGAACAGAGGGTCCAAGGACACAGGGTCCAGGGACAAAGGGTCCAAAGACAGAGGGACAGGGACAGAGGGTCCAAGGACAGAGGGTCCAGGGATAGAGGGTCCAAGGACAGAGAATCCAGGAACAGAGGGTACAAGTGTCCAAGGACAGAGTATCCAGGGACACAGGGTCCAAGGACACAGGTTCCAGGGAAACAGGCCCCAAGGACACAGGGTCCAGGGACACAGGGCCCAAGGACACAGGATCCAGGGACACAGGATCCATGGACAGAGGATCAAAGGACACAGGATCCAGGGACAGAGGGTCAAAGGACACAGGGTCCAGGGACAAAGGGTCCAAAGACAAAGGGACAGAGACAGAGGGTCCAAGGACACAGGGTCAAAGGACACAGGGTCCAGGGATAGAGGGTCCAAGGACAGAGAATCCAGGAACAGAGGGTACAAGTGTCCAAGGACACAGGATCCAGGGACACAGGGTCCAAGGACACAGGTTCCAGGGACAGAGGGTCCAAGAACACAGGGTCCAAGGACACAGGGTCCAGGGATAGAGGTTCCAAGGACAGAGAGTCCATGAACAGAGGGTCCAAGGACACAGGGTCCAGGGACAAAGGGTCCAAAGACAGAGGGACAGGGACAGAGGGTCCAAGGACAGAGGGTCCAGGAACAGAGGGTACAAGTGTCCAAGGACAGAGTATCCAGGGACACAGGGTCCAAGGACACAGGTTCCAGGGACAGAGGGTCCAAGGACAGAGGGTCCACGGATACAGAGTCCAAGGACAGAGAGTCCACGAACAGAGGGTCCAAGGACACAGGGTCCAAGGACAGAGGATCCACGGACACAGGGTCCAGGGACAGAGGGTCCAGGGACACAGGGTCCAAGGACATAGGGTCCAGGGACAGAGGGATGTTGTATGCCGTAAAGCAGTTAATTTAAAGAACTCAAACCTGTGGTATCGGCGAAACACTGTCATCCGGTTGAAAAGCATCAAAGTCCAGGTCAAGAAGTGATTCTCCTGGCCGTTCATTGGGCTGTGGACAACAACAACAACGTCAGTAAAACAAGAACCAATTGTATACAACACATGGTGCATGTACACTACCTCTGTTTTAGGAACACAGAATATATGTGAAGACTCCACCGACCTGTGATGGTGAAGGTGCCGGTAAAAATTCTCCTCCAAACAGGTCAATGATCTGCTCCTCCGCCACCTCTTTGGTAGGTGTGACCTTTGGTGGTGGAGGCACCGGCGGCCCCTTTTTAAGCTGCCCCCCAAAAAGAAACAAGAAAAGCTGTTATCAGATCAACTCAGAGCAGATTTCATTTAAGCAGTCTCTATTATTTCTGATCCATTTTGTAGCTTCATCTTAAAATCAGAGGATGGATGAAGCCACATCTAGACAATACAGAAACAATGACTCAGTCTGTTGGCATTATTCAGACGGCGCCACAACAGAGATGCAACATGCTCCAGCCTCATGAAATACAACTCATCACTACTCTGTGTAAACACAGCAAGGACCCCTGGTGGCAGGAAAGACAACAGCGTGTTGGATCTTATAAGGCTGGACGATACTCTGACAATGGAGGACACTGTTAATGTGTCGTCGTCATTAGATTTGATCAGAAATAACTCCTCCTAAACTTGGACAAATTCTGATCTGAGACCGACGAACACGTGAACATGAGGACAACATGAGATGGATTCATTTGATCGTGTTACAGTGATGCAACAGCAGCTGTCAGAGTTCAGACAGCACAGTCAGGTAACACACACTCACATCAACAGCCTGTCAATGTGAGTAAGTTGAGTGCCTCCTGCTGACATTAAACTGTGTCACATGACCCTGACCCCAACCCTGAGCCTGACCCTGACATTGTGACGTAGATTTAACGGATTTACTCACCAATATTTTTCGTTTTACTTTGGATTTACTTTAGAGCCACATCAGTGTTGCATTAGTGTCATGTTTGTGCCACATTAGCGTCATGTTAGTGCCACATTAGTGTCACGTTACTGTCACCTTAGTGTCATGTTAGTGCCACATAATGTCACATCAGTATCACATTAGTGTCGCATTAGTGTCATGTTGGTGCCACATTAGTGTCACGTTACTGTAACCTTAGTGTCATGTTAGTGCCACATAATGTGACATTAGTATCACATCAGTGTCGCATTAGTGTCTCTAATCTGTCTGTTTTACAGTGTGTCTCTAACATGTCTGCCTTACAGTGTGTCTCTAACATCTCTGCCTTACAGTGTGTTTCTAATCTGTCTGTTTTACAGTGTGTCTCTAATCTGTCTGCCTTACAGTGGGTCTCTAATCTGTCTGTTTTACAGTGTGTCTCTAATCTGTCTGCCTTACAGTGGGTCTCTAATCTGTCTGTTTTACAGTGTGTCTCTAATCTGTCTGTCTCACAGTGTGTCTCTGTCTGTTTTACAGTGTGTCTCTAACCTGTCTGTCTTACAGTGTCTCTCTAATCTGTCTGTCTTACAGTGTGTCTCTAACATGTCTGTCTTACAGTGTGTCTCTAACATGTCTGCCTTACAGTGTGTCTCTAATCTGTCTGTCTTACAGTGTGTCTCTAATCTGTCTACCTTACAGTGGGTCTCTAATCTGTCTGTTTTACAGTGTGTCTCTAATCTGTCTGTCTCACAGTGTGTCTCTAATCTGTCTGTCTTACAGTGTGTCTCTAACCTGTCTGTTTTACAGTGTGTCTCTAACGAGTCTGTCTTACAGTGTGTCTCTAACCTGTCTGTCTTACAGTGTCTCTCTAATCTGTCTGTCTCAGTGTGTCTCTCTAACCTGTCTGTCTTACAGTGTGTCTCTAACCTGTCTGTCTCACAGTATGTTTCTCTAACCTGTCTGTCATACAGTGTCACTCTAACCTTTCTGTCTTACAGTATTTCTAACCTGTCTGCCTTACAATGAGTCTTGAACCTGTCTAACAGTGTGTCTCTAATCTGTCTGTCTTACAGTGTGTCTCTAACCTGTCTGTCTCACAGTGTGTCTCTCTAACCTGTCTGTTTTACAGTTCGTCTCTAACCTGTCTGTCTCACAGTGTGTCTCTCTAACCTGTCTGTCTTACAGTGTGTGTCGAACCTGTCTGTCGTACAGTGTGTCTCTAACCTGTCTGTCTCACAGTGTGTCTCTCTAACCTGTCTCTCATACAATGTCACTCTAACCTTTCTGTTTTACAGTATTTCTAACCTGTCTACCTTACAATGAGTCTTGAACCTGTCTAACAGTGTGTCTCTAATCTGTCTGTTTTACAGTGTGTCTCTAATCTGTCTGTCTCACAGTGTGTCTCTAATCTGTCTGTCTTACAGTGTGTCTCTAACCTGTCGGTCTTATAGTGTGTCTCTGATCTGACTGTCTTACAGTGTGTCTCTAATCTGTCTGTCTTACAGTGTGTCTCTAATCTGTCTGTCTCACAGTGTGTCTCTAATCTGTCTGTTTTACAGTGTGTCTTTAACCTGTTGGTCTTACAGTGTGTCTCTAATCTGTCTGTCTCACAGTGTATCTCTCTAATCTGTCTGTCTCACAGTGTGTCTCTAACCTGTCTGTCTCACAGTGTGTCTCTAACCTGTCTGTCTTACAGTGTGTGTCAAACCTGTCTGTCTCAGTGTGTCTCTAATCTGTCTGTCTTACACTGTGTCTCTAATCTCTTTTACAGTGTGTCTCTAACCTGTCTGTCTTACAGTGTGTCTCTAATCTGTCTGTTTTACAGTGTGTCTCTAACCTGTCTGTCTTACAGTGTGTGTCGAACCTGTCTGTCTTACAGTGTGTCTCTAACCTGTCTGTCTTACAGTGCATCTCTAACCTGTCTGTCATACAATGTCACTCTAACCTTTCTGTCTTACAGTATTTCTAACCTGTCTGCCTTACAATGAGTCTTGAACCTGTCCAACAGTGTGTCTCTAACCTGTCTGTCTTACAGTGTGTGTCGAACCTGTCTGTCTTACAGTGTGTCTCTAATCTGTCTGTCTTACAGTGTGTCTCTAACCTGTCTGTCTCACAGTGTGTCTCTCTAACCTTTCTGTCTTACAGTGTGTGTCGAACCTGTCTGTCTTACAGTGTGTCTCTAACCTGTCCGTCTTACAGTGTATCTATAACCTGTCTGTCATACAGTGTCACTCTAACCTGTCTGTCTTATAGTGTCTCTCTAACCTGTTTGTCATACAGTGTATCTCTCTAACCTTTCTGTCTTACAGTGTGTCGAACCTGTCTGTCTTACAGTGTGTCTCTAACCTGTCTGTCTTACAGTGTATCTCTAACCTGTCTGTCATACAGTGTCACTCTAACCTGTCTGTCTTACAGTGTATCTCTAACCTTTCTGTCATACAGTGTGTCTCTAACCTGTCTGTCTTACAGTCTGTCTCTAACCTGTCTGTCTCACAGTGTGTCTCTCTAACCTGTCTGTCTTACAGTGTCACTCTAACCTTTCTGTCTCACAGTATTTCTAACCTGTCTGCCTTACAATGAGTCTTGAACCTGTCTCACAGTGTGTCTCTAACCTGTCTGTCTTACAGTGTGTGTCTAACCAGAGATAAATGTACTGAATTATTTATTTGTCATGTTAGTGCCACATCATGTCACATTAGTATCATGTTAGTGTCACATTAGTGCCACATTAGCGTAATGTTAGTGCCACATTAGTGTAACATTACTATCACCTTAGTGTCATGTTAGTGCCACATAATGTCACATTAGTGTCATGTTAGTGCCGCATTAGTGTCACTTTACTGTCACCTTAGTGTCATGTTAGTGCCACATAATGTCACATTAGTATCACATCAGTGTCACATCAGCATCATGTTAGTGCCACATTAGTGTCATGTTACTGTCACCTTAGTGTCATTTTAGTGCCACATAATGTCACATTAGTATCACATTAGTGTCACATTAGTGTCACGTTGGTGTCTGATCTGAAGTGACTCAGTATGCGGCTGTCGGCACAACAGGTCCACGGATCAGCTGATCAGTGCGGTCTGATTTTATTGAGTGAAACGATCCTGTAATGTTACACACCTATGACTTCACAAACACACAGTTTACCAACATCAAATACATACACACAAATATACACACATTCATACACATATACACACTAAGTGTAACTCCGCCCTCTTCGCCAACATTAACAGTCTGTTTTTACTTATTACAGCTTGTTTTGTTTTATTGGGTTTTGTTGTTCTTTGCAGTATCTGTTTACAGGTGTCTGACCTGTCTGTGTGTCAGCGTGTATGAGATCAAACTACTCTCACACGTCGACTCTACTGTCACCTGTCGGCTCTACTGTCACCTGTCGGCTCTACTGTCACACGTCGGCTCTACTGTCACACGTCGACTCTACTGTCACACATCGACTCTACTGTCACCTATTGACTCTACTGTCACCTGTCGATTCTACTGTCACCTGTCGACTCTACTGTCACCTGTCGGCTCTACTGTCACCTGTCGACTCTACTGTCACACGTCAACTCTACTGTTACACATCGACTCTACTGTCACCTATTGACTCTACTGTCACCTGTCGATTCTACTGTCACCTATTGACTCTACTGTCACACGTCAACTCTACTGTCACCTGTCGATTCTACTGTCACCTGTCGACTCTACTGTCACCTGTCAGCTCTACTGTTATCTGTCGACTCTACTGTCACACGGCGACTCTACTGTCACCTATTGACTGTACTGTTACCTGTCAATTCTACTGTCACCTGTCGACTCTACTGTCACCTGTCGATTCTACTGTCACCTGTCAACTCAACTGTCACACGTCGACTCTACTGTCATACTGTCACCTGTCACCAATTGACTCAACTGTCATCTATTGACTCTACTGTCGACTCTACTGAAACCTGTCGACTCTACTGTCACCTGCTGACTCTACTGTCACCTGTCGACTCTACTGTCATCTATTGACTCAACTGTCATCTATTGACTCTACTGTCGACTCTACTGAAACCTGTCGACTCTGTCATTTATTGACCCTACTGTCACCTGTCCACTCTACTGTCATCTTTTGACTGTAGTCATCTTCTGACTCTACTGTCACCTGTCAACTCTATTGTCATCTACTGACTACTGTCATGTACTGACTCTACTGTCATCTATTGACTCTACTGTCACCTATCAACTCTACTGTCATCTATTGACCCTACTGTCACCTGTTGCCTCTATCATCTACTATCATCTATTCATTGCACTGTCATCTACTGACTCTACTGTCACCTATTTCACATTCACTCACACAGACAGAGACAGAAACAAAGTTCACTCACCAGTTACAGACAATAGTTTGCAGCAAAGAAAAACAGTCACAGAAAGTTACTGAGAAGTTTCAACAGTCGTCAAGAGAACAGAAAAACAGAACGTCTGTCTGATACTGTTAATCATCAATACTTCTACATCAATACTACTTCCTGTGATTGATCACCCATATCTACAAATCATTTATCTGATTATAACATGTTTTTATCACTTCAGATAACATCTACCTGTGACAGAGGTCACAATCCAGTTCAGATAACATCTACTAGGGTTGGGTCGGTATGAGAAAAAAAAAAAGGTCCGGTGTTTGTGAAAAAATGCATCAAGTCGGTAAAACTGGATTTTCGCCACTTGGGGGCGAAATTGACTCATTTAAAATAAAAAACGACCATAGGACAACAGAGTGACAGTAACACGTTGTTTCTTTTATTCCTTACAAATAAATTTTGCAGCTTACTCAATCAGTGCAAACAAGGGTTGCCTCCTTCGTCTGGCTCAAAGCCAAAGTGTTGCCATATTGGCGCATTTTTTGATTTCTCCAGGCTACAGTAGAGGCCTCAGCGCGTGCACACTCGCACCCCCTAGCTCAGTCCCCGCCCCACCCCCACCCCCCTCTCTCCTGCTCGCTGTGCGCTTGGCGAAGAGGCAGACACAGTTGCTCACAGACTCCGACAGCCTTTGATGTCGGCACTCTGTTCTTATCTATAGGTGCTCACAGACTCTGGCGTACTATAAGTGGACTGGACTCCGCCAGGAATGTCCGCAGTCATTCGGGCTTCCATAGTCGAGCGCACTACCGTGTTGTAGTTTCCTGTAAAAATGTCTGTGAAAAATCCCCGCAATGTTAAAAATACATACCGAGCAGTCTTTTGTGTGACACTGGTGCGCAGTCCGTGCGGTCGTGCTTTGCACGCACAGGGCTTGCGAAAGTCCACTTTTACCGGGCAGACCTCCACTGAGTCCGCTTCGCGTACGTTCCGCCCGAGTAAGCAGTCCGGTCAGTCTAAAAAAAAAAAAAATAACCCGGTCCAAGACGGAGTACCGAACCGAACTGGTAATACCAAAAACCGACCACACCCTAACATCTACCTGTGATGGAGGTCTGGATCCAGTTCAGATAACATCTACCTGTGATGAAGGTATGGATCCAGGTCAGAAAATATCCACCTGTGACTGAGGTCTGGATCCAGTTCAGATAAAATCTACCTGTGACTGAGGTCTGGATCCAGTTCAGATAACATCTACCTGTGACGGAGATCTGGATCCAATTCAGATACCTGTGACGGAGGTCTGGATCCAGTTCAGATAATATCTACCTGTGAGGGAGGTCTGGAATAGTTAACGAGTAGATCTACCTGTGTAGGAGATTTGGGCCGTGGTGGTCCAGGTGAGACAGGGCGCAGCATGTGATTGGAGCTGAAGTCTGGACTGTCAGGTGGACTCTCGTCCTCTGGTGGCGAAGGAGTTCTGGCTAGTCGCAGTGGTCCTGAATCACTGAGGAACGACACAGAAACCACATGATCACACAGTCTTTTAATTGGCTGATCAGTGACAGGTGGAGCTGCAGGTGGAGCTGCAGGCTGAGCCAATGACTCTGTAATCGTCTTCTGGACAAAGATGCTCCGGACATTGTTTCACAGCAGTGACTAATTTCTGTTTAGTTAAATCAGAGATCACCTGACATCCAGGTGACGCCCAGGCATACCGTCCTCCAGGGACCTTGAAATGTCCCTGAGTAAAGCCCAGCATCTGTACACTCATTATATAAGGTGTGTAAGCCCGACATACTACACACGCAACAAACACTACAAAACTACACACCCTGCACAAACTACACACACCCTACACGCAGTACACAAATTACACAAACTACACAAATAAAACAAACTACACAAGTTACACAAACTTCACACACTACACATTACATAAATTACACCAAATACACAAACACACACTACACAAATTACGCAAACTACACACTACAAAAAAGAAAACAAACTACACATATGGCACACACTATGCAAACTACACAAATTACACAAACTACACACACTACACAAATTACAGAAAGTACACACCACACACTATATAAATTACAGAAACTACACAAATTACATACAGTACACACACTACACAAATAACAAAGTACATACAATACACAAATTACACAAACTACACACACTTCACAAACTACACACTACACAAACAACACAAACTTCACACACTACGCAAACTACACAAATTACAGAAAATACACACGACACAAACAACACCAAGTACACAACCTACAGACACTAAACAAACTACACACAACATAAATTACAGAAACTCCACACACTAGACAGATTACACAAACTACACACGACACACTACACAAATTACACATACTACAAATACCTCACACACTACACAAACTACAAACAATATACAAATTACACAAACTACACACACTACAGGAACTACACAAATTACACAACCTACACACATGCACACACAACACAAATGACACAAACTACATATACTACACAAACTACATCAGGACACACACTACACAAATGTCAAACTACATATAAAACACAAATTTCACAGACTACACACAAACTACACACACGACACAACACAATTCACAAATTACAAAAACTGCAAATACTTCACACACTACACAAACTACACACAATACACAAATTACACAAACTACACACACAACACACACTACAAAAAGTACACACACTACACACACGACGCAAATTACAAAAAGTACAGAAACTACACACATTACGCAAATTACACAAACACACTATGCAAATTGCACAAACTACACACACTACACAAATGACAAATTACATACACTTACAGGGTGTCTCTAATCTGTCTGTCTAACAGTGTGTCTCTAATCTGTCTGTCTCACAGTGTGTCTCTAACCTGTCTGTCTCACAGTGTGTCTCTAATCTGTCTGTCTTACAGTGTGTCTCTAATCTGTCTGTCTCACAGTGTGTCTCTAATCTGTCTGTTTTACAGTGTGTCTCTAACCTGTCTGTCTTACAGTGTGTCTCTAACCTGTCTGTCTTACAGTGTCTCTCTAATCTGTCTGTCTCACAGTGTGTCTCTCTAACCTGTCTGTCTTACAGTGTGTCTCTAACCTCTCTGTTTTACGGTGTGTCTCTAATCTGTCTGTCTCACAGTGTGTCTCTCTAACCTGTCTGTCTTACAGTGTGTCTCTAACCTGTCTGTCTTACAGTGTCTCTCTAATCTGTCTGTCTCAGTGTGTCTCTCTAACCTCTCTGTTTTACGGTGTGTCTCTAATCTGTCTGTCTCACAGTATGTTTCTCTAACCTGTCTGTCATACAATGTCACTCTAACCTTTCTGTCTCACAGTATTTCTAACCTGTCTGCCTTACAATGAGTCTTGAACCTGTCTAACAGTGTGTCTCTAATCTGTCTGTCTCACAGTGTGTCTCTCTAACCTGTTTGTCTCACAGTGTGTCTCAAATCTGTCTGTCTCACAGTGTGTCTCTGTAACCTGTCTGTCTTAGTGTCTCTCTAACCTGTCTGTCTCACAGTGTGTCTCTCTAACCTGTCTGTCTTACAGTGTGTGTCTAACCTGTCTGTCTTACAGTGTGTCTCTAACCTGTCTGTCTTACAGTGTGTCTCTAACCTGTCTGTCTTACAGTGTGTCTAACCTGTCTGTCTCACAGTGTGTCTCTCTAACCTGTCTGTCTTAAAGTGTGTCTCTAACCTGTCTGTCTTACAGTGTGTGTCTAACCAGAGATAAATGTACTGAATTATTTATTTAATGACAATTAATTAGATGTTGAAACAAATCACAGCTGTTTAAATCTGAAGACATAATGTAGATTAATGATCCGTTCATTTTGGTGCTGAATTAAGATCATTTTTATTCTAAATATCCTGCAGAAATAGACCTTATGTTTATGCAAACATGAGCTGCACAGAAAACCTTCCTGTGATGTTTTCGGACTCAGGAGATGGTGCCTGTACATGTTTCATACAAACATCAGCTTTGAGGACAGAAGACGGATGAGACTCAGGAAATGAACACAAAAAGACTTATGTCTCTGAGATCATCTCTTTTTTTTTTTCGAACAATCAAACAAACGGCCAGCTGTTTTCATCAAATAGTGTTCAGGGACAAAATGAAACTGACCTCGGCGCTCCTTGGATGGTGAACATTTTGTCAGAGTGCTGCTCACTCAGTTTGGTCATCACTTCGTACAGCTGCCGACAAACCTGCAGGGAGGTAACAAGTGATATGTCACAAAGTGCTCCAATCCCATTGGTCACACAGCTGAGCCCTTTAGTGTCTGATGTAAAGACAAAGGACCCCCCCACCCCCCCAACCCCCTCACCAGGGAAATCTCACGGTGGAATTTGGTCTCCAGGTGCGTCACACTCTTAAAAGTGGTGATGTAGAAGCCGACACGGCTGCAGAGACCAAAGAGTTAAAGGTTAGACTTTGTTTTTCTCCTGATAATTTAAATGTTTATTGATCGATCGATCAAAATATTTTACAACACATGAAGTGGCGATCGACAGACACAGTTCCTGTGTCAGACAGGTGTGCATAAAGTACTATTAGGATAGGATTAGTTTTACATAGGGATGTGGAATAATGTCAGTTTACCACAGGATGTCTGTAATATAAACGTCCGCTTCACACGGGACAAAATAATTCTACTCAGTGTCCTGGCGTCATCTCCCTGTCAACATGTGTGTGCTATGCTGTGGTGAAGGATGTTGGTGGAGCAGGGCATAAAGCATCAGCTGAAGGATAATAATAATTAATTATAGCTGCTGCACAGCGATGGGTCGGGTCCGGGCATTTTTAGGCAATTCTGAGCAACAAGCAGAAGAATTGGAAGACATTTAGCAACACAATCTGCTTTTTGCATCAGCTGAGGCTTGAACTCACAACCTCTGAGACTAAGGATCAATTTCTATCTCACTGAGCTAATTAGTCAGTGACAGTTCATGTGTAGCTTCACAAATTGACTAAGCCAGAAGTGCAGGTTTAGCAGCCGTCCATGCATGGAAAAGCAGATTTCAAACCACTGTAAAAAATTCAGTTATCGAAACAAAAATCTGAAAATACACATATTGCATCTAGATAGCATGGAGATGTTGGTAATTTGTTTGTATCAATGACCGATTTGCTCCATAAGTGAAAAACTGATGTTTAAAATTGCCATTTTTACATTGACTCCAATTGTTCACATCAGAGCAAAATTCAAAATGCTGTCAAAAATTCAGTTTTTGAGATAAAATTCTGAAATTTGCCGCACATCATCTACCATGACTCTAAAATTTTGTCATTTTTTTTCATGAACATTGAAGATTTATTTTCATTTTCATTTATTTAGCAAGAATGCATGTATATGTTTACAGTACCGTTTACAGTCAAAGATTTTGATGCACTGTAGGCTCGATTTTTGATAAATCAAAAATCTGAGAAATGTAGTTTGTGTAGGACAGTCTGAAGATGCTCTGTAGCAAGTTTGGTGTCAATTGAGCAAAAATTGTGGGAGGAGATAGGTTTAAGAAGTTTTACAGTTTTTGAAAAAAACAGTGATAAACTTCATAATTTTTAATAGGTTTAAATGTACAAAAGTTTCTTCAGTATTGGGGCTACAGTTTGATGAAAGTTGTGAAGTTGTAGCACGTATGGTTGATTTGTTATGAATTTTCAAATTTTTGAACTTTAGACGCTTGCTGTAGCGCCACCATCAGGACTATTGGCTTGAGTTTACAGCTGAGGATATCTGGCATGAGACTGGACCTTTGTGCAAAGTTTGGTGAGTTTTCACCCATGGGAAGTATGATTTCCTTGGAAGAAGAAGAAGAAGAAGAAGAAGAATACCTAGGATTACAATAGTGTCCTGGCAACTTAGCTGCCCAGACTCTAATGATTAGCCCAATATGAAATATTGCCCATGATCAAGATTGTGTGTACACAACGATTAGCAATATGGATTTATATTAGGCCGACCTAACGCAACCACAAGTCTAGTGGCTCTGAAAAGTGCTTTCTTCTCATCCTTTATGATGGGTCTCCCACGTAGGGCTATGCCATCATTAGAAAAATGTCCACTATCACGACTGCCGACAACACGGAATGCTTCTTCAAGCACCTCCATCATCGAAAAAACGCGTAAAAAATAGTTGTAAACGCAGCAAAATGGTTGTAAACAGGACGTGAAGAAATTTTTACATACATTTTTACAGAGGATCGCGTTAGCACGGAATTAATATTGGGCCAGGAATTTTTTTCTCCCGACCGTTTACAGAAGGTAAAAGTCACCGTAATTTTTACTGACATTATCCATAATGATTACAGACATGGTTTGCTCAGATGGGACTAAAATCCCTGGTAATAATTACTTTACCCCACGTCTCCATGTTAAAATAATCCCGTCCAATTAGGGCTTAAGACACGACTTACCTGTCCCACAGAGTCGGCAGTTCGTCCTGTAGACCAACGTTCAACTCATCAAACACTTTCTGAGCCTTTTTCAACTCTTCCTCTGCCTTCAAACAGAAACAAGTCTGATTAACAAACTGACCTCCACGCAGCACCTGAACGCACCACAGATAACAACTGCTGTATGAAATCCATGTTTCATCACAGATCACCAAGCTCACCTTTGTTATCTTACGGTCGTTCTTCATCCCTGACATCTGCAGAGTCTCCACATGATGACGAGCGCTGTCGTAGTCGATGAGTTTCCGACTTCTTTTGGCCACACGAGTCTGAAATGTCACAAAGTTTCAGTTTTACGTTGAAGAATCAGTTTCTGCATCAACACTGTCAAAGAATCTTTCACCAGATAAACGGTTTGTTACTTTGAGGTCTGGAAACTGCTGCAGGTACGCGTCAAGGTCCAGCAGCGTCGAGTCCACCAGCTTGTTATGAAAGTCCTCCCACAATGCATCACAGTCCTGTGGCAAACACACATCAACTCATGTTGTCATAGTGACACATCGAAACTTTATTCTGTTATGAAAAAGACAGTCAACTTTTACTGGCAGGGGGCCGATGCCAGGAGGTCAGAGGCCAGTCAGTGGTGTAGGCAGGGTAAGCCCGGACGACTGTCAGGGGATCTGAAAGATCCACCCCCGGCAGTTTTTTTTTTTAAAAAACAAGTTTTATTTTGATGAGTTTTTTTATGCACTCGGACACTTTAAGCTGCTTTTTACAGCACTGAGCATGAACGGGCAACCTTATTTCAGAGAGAAGGAAGCAGCAGACACGAAGCAGTGTCAGACACGGCAAGTGGGGGTATGAAGCAGCTGCTGCCAACATGAACACATCAGGGGAATGCTCTTCTGGGTAGTTGCTAGGACAGTTGTCAGGGTGGTTGTCAGGGCAGTTGTCAGGATAGTTGTCAGGACAATTGTCGGGGCGGTTGTCAGGGTGATGGTTAAGACCGTTGAAAGGGTGGTTGTAAGGACAGTTGTCAGGGAAGTTGTCAGGGCGGTGGTAAAGGCGGTTGTAAGAGCGGTTGAAAGGATGACTGTCAGAACAGTTGTCAGGGCAGTTGTCTGGACAGTTGTCAGAATGGTTGGCAGGTCAGTTGTCAGGGTGGTTGTCAGTGTCAGGATGGCTGTCAGGACAGTTGTCAGGTCGGTTGTCAGAACAGCTGTCAGGACAATTGTCAGGGCTGTTGTAAGGACTGTTGTCAGGACAGTTGTCAGGGCTGTGGTAAAGATGGTTGTAATGGCGACTGTCAGGACAGCTGTCACCCACATGACACCTGAACACAATTGTCAGGCTGTTGTAAGGACAGCTGTCAGGACAATTGTCGGGGTGGTTGTCAGGACAGTTGTCAGAACAGTTGTCAGGACAGTTGTCAGGGCGGTGAAAAGGCTAATTATATGAAAAGTGCAAAAAAAATCTCAGCATGAATGAACACATTTTCTCTGTGAATTAGAAAATGGTCTGGGGGGAACCTGGTGCCCTGTGGGGTGGGCTGATTTAAACCACGGTGATAAGCTAGCAAGCTCCGCCCTCTGGTCTGGCTCCAGGAGGAGTCTCCACCTCCATGTTCAGGGTCGGACAGTAGCTCTTGGTCTGGCCCCTCACTTGGGACCAAGTGGCCTTGGGGGACCCTGTTGGAGGAGCTGTTGCCTCCAGTGTCGCAGGGAAGCTCAAACCCCTCAACCACAACAAGGCGGTGATTCTCAGACAGGAAATGATTCTACTTCTCCTCACTGTGATGTCACCAATTACAAACATGACATCATGTGATAACAGCTATCATTAATCACCTGATCATGACAAGTGTTTGCGGTAACACTGATGTGGCGACTCTTGGCACCACAACACAAACGTCTCAAAGATTAAAGTTTCAGTTTGGCTGTTTGTGAACACACATCTGTCATCTGTCTGTGATGTGTTCAGGTGTCATGTGGGCGATTCTGTGACTCTGACCTTCCCAATGACCATGACGTCATCTTTTCCGTGCCAGTCCGGTTCGTAGACTTCATGCAGAGACTGAGTCAGGTTGATGGAGGCCTGCTGCATCCCTGCAGGGACAAAAACTCAGTCAGCTGATTTTCTAAATCATTTTGTCTCTGTGAGACTTAACAATAAATTTTTTCTCACCTTTAATGGCGGACATGTAGGCCTTCATCTCCCTCTGCAGCCGAGAGCCTTCAGACTGACACAACACACACGGAAATATTCTACATCAGTGCTTTTATTTTGGCGGATCGTGATGCCTTCCTGTTTTCTGACAATCAGGTTGGTCATCTGCCGCATGCGGGGTTAGGTCTGGAATCTGGTTTCGTGGTCACAGTGTTATTCAATGTCTGTCCAGAACTTCTTCTATAGTTTAACACAATATGGAGGTTAATGTTCGGCATGTCTGTCCATCAGAGACTGAAACAACCACAAAATAACTCCTTTCAAGGGTCAACCCTGACCCTGACCCTGACCCTGGCCCTGACCCCAGGACCCCAAGTCTTTAAGAAGATGGGCTTCATTGTTCTTATTAAGCTTCCTCACTGATAAGAAATAAAGTCTTTCATCACTTCCTGTCCAACATCATGTAAAGTTCGATCTACAGTAGAAACTCTTCAGGTCATTGAGAAAGGTTTGACTTAAAGGACGATCACATTTTTAACTGGTTCTGACCATTAATGTTTTTGGCTCCTCCTACATCCATCTTCCTACTTACAAACTGAACCTCCACTTTATTTTCAAAATCAAGTTCTGCCCTGATTCTTCCTCTTTTTGTCTTTTCTCCAGCCATCGTTCGTCACAGTCAGCAGGTACGTTTATACATAAGGACCAACCTGCAACAGCGGGCGCTCTCACATGTACATGAGGTCGTCTTGTCTTTAACGGTGTGAGATTCATTATGGTGACAAAATGCATTCATGTTTCCAGCAGACAGTCCAGCGTGTCTGTGTGCCTCAGTTTGAGTCATGAACTTACACAAAGTTATTCTGTGCTCAGGTCCATGAATCTTGTTTACATCAAAACAACCTAATGATTTGGTGACGCTGGTATGTAAACATCGCTCACCTCCTGTCTCCTGAAATTGATGACCACTTGCTCAAACTGCTCATCTTTGGTCTCGTCAGCTTTTCCCAGTTTCTGCAGCACCTGACCAAACACAGGATGAAACAGATTCATGTCTGCCATCACTTTCATTCAACAGAAAATGTGTCGTCAGAAGAAAAATGTGACTGAGCACAAAATAATAAACATGTTTTTGTTGAGGTGTAAAACTTAAGACCAACAGAAAACATCAGTAGGGATGCACCGAATATTCGGTAACCAAATATATTCGGCCGAATATTGCAAAAAAACACACATTCGGTATTCGGTGGAATAAGTTAAAAGCAAGGCCGAATAATAGCGGCGTGTTTTGATAATGCAATCAAACGGCGTGCCATGACTGGCGGAGTAAAATGTCGGCAGTGTGGCGATCCGTCCGTCACGGCACTCGCATTTGTGACTAAAAATAGTTTTGAGCGAGCAAAATAGGCTTAAATCATTCAGCACACTGTGCGAGCAGCCTACAGATTTCAACCAGCAGCAGAAACGAAAGGCGAATCCCACCGATTGTGGGTTGAACGGGGGTCACAGACACAGACAGTAATGTATTCCTGTCAAATACGGCGGCCATCGGCTTACCGGCGACGGAGAAGTTGGTTCCAATAATATCCTCTTCTTGGTGTCATGACTGCCCAGAAGTACCTGAACAGCCGAGCCAGCCGAACACAGGTATGTGACGTGTCAGAGGAGAAACGAGCCGTTCACATTTCTCTCTCTGTGGCAGTAACGGTCCACAAACCTCACCGCACTTTAGGGACTGTTCTTTACTTATGAAGGGACTGTTCTTTACTTGTCAGGGGAGGAGGGTGGCTGGTTGATTTTTATTTTATTTATTTATTTTATTTTGATCCCCCCTATGTTAATCACTTATTGATGCTGTTTTTGAAGTATGAATAAGTCAATAAGTAATTTATTCCATTGAAATATCAGTGATGTATTATAGAAAAGTGATTTATCTTTTCATAAATGGCAAAAGGCACATCCGCCTCATTTTCGCTGTGGTATCATGATACTACTCAGAACCATGATATTTTCATTGGTATCGCACAGTGGGTCCCAATTTTGATACCGTGACAACACTAATCTGGAATTTCTCAATTATGGGATCAATAAAGGTGTATCTTATCTTATCTTTTCATCTGCAAAAACTAATGAAAAACTAAACAATGATATTCGGTATTCGGTACTCGGTATTCGGCCAAGTGTTTAATAATATTCAGTTTCGGCTTCGGCCACAAATTTTCATTTCGGTGCATCCCTAAACATCAGTGATGTCATGTTGTCAACTGAACATAATGACCCAACAAACAGGAAGTAAATATAGTTTTGGTGAAGTTTGTTTTCAGCATGAAGAACGTCAGTGTGTGTTTAAGAGACAGGAAACAAGCAGACAGACAGAACTTTCTTTAAACAGCAAGCTGTGAAGCAGCTCCTCCCTCAATGCCACCGCCACTGTGGCATTAATATGTAATGTGCAGTGTCTGGGTTGTATTTCAGATCAACGTGTCCCTGAACGCAGCACACATTTTTTCTTCTTGCTGGGTGGGCTTATTCTCAAATGTCAGCTTGCTGTGATCTCATTGGTCAGCTGTCTGTCTATATAAGGAGCTGCTCTCATTCACTGCCTGTGTGCAGGAGGGCGGGGCTTAGCTTCACACACAGAGAGTGAACCAGGTCCTGTTTCAGCACCATGGACAGTTCTCATTATCATATGAGAACCAGAACCATGAGGACTGAACAGTTTCAGCTTCAACTGGATCAAATGTAAGGACGTCCTGACCCGTGGGTTAAGGTTAGGGAGGTCAGGGGTCAGGAGTTAACCTGTGATTTCAAAATGATCTCACAGTATCAAATCTTTGTGAAAAAATTTCTAAATATGAACATTCATCGTCTTCAAACTTCTGAACCTACGTCTTTTCACCATCATCGTTTTTTTAAACGTCTTTTCAACAGAAAACTGTTTCTCTGACTTGAACACCAAGAAACTGATTTTACTTATTTATTTATCTGTTAATGAGTGGTGATGTAACGTTTTCATTTCATCTCGAATTCAAGCCAAAAATAAAAAAAAACACACACTGTGGATGAACACTGTGTGTGTGTGTGTTTACATGTTGTTTTAGTGACAGTTGATCAGCTAACTCTCTCAGCCTCTCCTATAAATAACATGCAGGTAGCTGATCTGGCGTCAGAAATGACGTCATCACGCCGCGGACAGGGCATCCCCGCCCCCCCTTCTGCCGACCTTGGAGCAGGAAAACACCTCCTCACCTTATTCATTTAAAACATGAATTACCTGCGTGACATATTTCACCTCGTATGTGACGTCATCGCGAGGCGTTAAAATCCACCGTGGGTCTGTTTGAACCGAAAAACACACTCCGCCGTTTGCTAATGACCTGACTGGTTTTATGAGCTGATTTTAAACATGACGTCACCCTGTCTGTGCAGATCTATGTCTGATCATCACAAACACACTCAAACACAATAAATAAATAAGCAAACAAACAAATATCGGAGGAGACTGATGGAAGGAAAGCTGCTCAGGCCTGCAGCGGACTACACATCCATACATCTCTGTCCTCCTCCATCTGTCCCCCCACCGTCAGCTCCTTCCCTCCGCCACCACCATCCTCATCATCCTCAGCAGCAGTAGCTCTTACCTTCTCCTGCGCGCGGTTCAACCGTTTCTGCACGTTTTTCGCGAAGATTCCCGTTTTGATTTCCGCCATGATGACTGCAGACCGAGAGACGGATTAACCAGGAGACAGGGCTGACAGGAGGGGGAGGGGCGTGTGTGTGTGTGTGTGTGTGTGTGTGTGTGTGTGTGTGTGTGTGGAGGGGGCGGGGCTGACAGTGACGACACTCAGTCAGCTGATTGTTGGGATAAACAGGTTCAGTAGAAATAAAATGGATGCTGACGGTGGATCAGATTCTGTTTTCAGGTGTTCACGGATCTCTTAGGTTCGTTTCTTGTGGTTTGGTGGGTGTGTCAGAGGTGTCAACCAATCAGCAGCGACATGAGTATAAAACAAATTCTAGTAGATGTTGACTTCCTGTACGCAGTTTTTATTTCATACTCACTCTGGCACAGTAAACATCTGTTTCTCAGGGTGTCAGTAAAGTTATTAAAGTGATTAAAGATTTGAATTCAGACCGCTATGTTAAAGGGCAGCACGTCTGCGCCTCCATCAGCATCTGCGTCTGCATCTGTGTCTGTGCCTGCTCCTGCATCTGCATCTGCATCCTTTACGCTCATCGTTAAACACACAGAGCCCTCAGTTTGTATTCTGTGTTCATTTTGTTGTTGTTTCTCCATGCATCTTGAACCACCAGAGAAGGTGGAGGCGGTGCGGTTCAAGCGGGATGCTACCGCAAGAAATAACAAATAAATTTAAATAATGGCAGAACAGAAAGAATCAGTAATACAGTGAAAAGAATTCTCCACCCACATGTCAGGATGTATTTCATGACCTCACAGACCACATAAAGGACACATGGAAGTGTGAGGACAATGATATTAGTTAGAATAAATGAGCCTTAACCCAGCGCTCACCGTCATGTGTTAACCAGCGCACTGAATCAAAGCGAACCAAGAACAGTGTTCCAAAAACAGGATGTGATGTCAAAATAAAAGAGCGAGCTCCATTCAGCCCCGACGACATGCAGCAAAACATTTATTTAAACCAGTGTTTCTCAAAGTGTGTGGCGCGCCTCCCTGGGGGGGCTCGGAGGCATCACAGGGGTGGCGCGAGTCACCCGGGGGGAAAGGAGGGGGGAACTAATGTTTGGACGTCGGAATTTTTTTCGCAGCGGAACCATAAACAAACCGTGCTTTCACCCGCCTTTTATAGCAACTGTGTTCAAGTCTGTTGGTTTTCAAAATGGAGAGATATTTGACAGGGACGAAAAGAAAAATTAGTGATGTTTCTGAGACCTCCTCAGTTGACGGTAGGCCTAATCAAAAAGCCAAGTCAAGAAAATATGATGAAGCCTATCTTGCTCTTGGGTTCACGGTGAATGTGGTCGGAGATGAAGAGAGACTCCTGTGTCTTTTGTGTCTGAAAACTCTGGCAGCTGACAGTATGAGACCCAACAAGTTAAAAAGACACTTGGAGACAATACACCCCAGTAACGTCAATAAACCACTTGACTTCTTTAAGAGAAATCTCAGTGAATATCGTCAGCAGGAACATCGGTTTGTAAAAGCTGCATCTGTGAACAACAACGCACTATTAGCATCATACAAAGTGGCGTATAGGATTGCACAGTGCAAGAAACCCCACACTATAGCAGAGGAGCTGATACTGCCCGCAGCTTTAGATATGGTGTCAACTATGCTTGATGAGAAAAGCGCTGAAAAATTGAAGGCTGTCCCTCTGTCCAATGACACAGTTGCAAGACGTATAAGTGACATTTCAGATGATCTGGAAGAACATCTCACTGAAAAACTGAAAGACAAACGCTTTGCCTTACAAGTGGATGAGGCGACTGACAGCAATAAAGACTGCTTGTTAATTGCTTATGTGCGCTTTGTCACGTCTGAGTCACTGTATGATGATTTGCTGTTTTGCAAATACATAAGAAGCAGAGCTACAGCTGATGAGCTCTTTAAGCTTCTTGACAGTTACCTGACAGAACATGGGCTGAAATGGGAGAACTGTATTGGCGTTTGCACGGATGGTGCACAGACCATTGCTGGGAATAAGCAGGGATTGCAGGCGCTAATCAAGCGGGTCTCGCCAAATGCGCAATGGACGCACTGTGTCATACACAGAGAAGCGCTCGCATCAAGGCAGATGAGCCCTGAATTAAACGACGTACTGACGGACGTCATTAGAGTGGTCAATTTCATCAAAACAAGACCCCTGAAAGCGCGGCTGTTCTCCACACTTTGTGATGAGATGGGAGCGACACATTCAGCTGTGTTGTTCCACAGCGAGGCCAGGTGGCTCTCCCGAGGAAAAGTGCTGTCACGAGTCTTCGAGCTCAGAGAGGAAATTCGGGTGTTTTTGGAGGATGAGGATATGCATGACGTTGCCACCAAGTTTAATGATGAACAATTTCTGATGAAACTGGCCTATCTCAGCGATGTATTTGGAAAGCTGAATGAATTAAATCTTCAGCTTCAAGGCAGAGACAAGCACCTTCCTCACCTGGCAGACAAGATCAGCGCATTCACTCGAAAGCTGGAGATGTGGGTCAGGCGACTTGATCAAGGAAACTTTGATTTCTTTGAGAATCTGAGTGAATTTGCTGAAACGAGTGATTCTTGTGCCACCACAGTGATTCCATGTCTTCAAGAGCACATCTCTTCTCTGAGAGGATTCTTTCAAAAATACTTCCCAGACAACAGTGCTCAGTATGACTGGCTAAGAAATCCATTCAACGCAGCAGTACCTGCTGATTTCAGTTCTGCTGAAGAGGACCAGTTCATTGAGATGACATCAGACTCCACCCTGAGGATGAGGTTTACAGCACAGACACTGACTGAATTCTGGCTTGGTGTGGAGAGGGAGCATCCACTCATAGGGCAAAGGGCTGTGGGCATTCTGCTTCCCTTTGCCACATCCTATCTCTGTGAGATAGGCTTTTCTGCTGTTGCCTCACTAAAAACAAAGTACAGATCCAGGCTCAATATTGAATATGACTTGAGAGTGGCAGTATCAAGCCTGCAACCCCGTTTTGAAAAGATGTGCAGCACAAAACAGGCTCATTGCAGCCATTAATGCCGTGGTAAGAATTAATTGTCACAGACTCATCTTTCTTGCCAGATATCTGCATTTGTCCTTTTTTGCACATAGGCCTACTGAACTTCATTGATATTGTTCTTGCAAAGTGAATGCACATTTTACTACTTTTTTCTAGTTGTGAAAAAGCACAGTAAAAGGAATATTCAGGATTTTGATATGCATTTGTTCTTTTTTTGCACATACTAAACTTCATTAATATTGTTCTTGCAAAGTGAATGCACATTTTATTACTTTTTTCTAGTTGTGAAAAAGCACAGTAAAAGGAATATTCATGATTTTGATATGTCAATAAAGTTAAACATGGCCTATTTTGTCACAATTTTGTTGGGGTGGGGGGAATGAAAATTTTTCTTCCTCCAAAGGGGGGAATGACAGAAAAAGTTTGAGAACCACTGATTTAAACAGAGACAGAGATGTGTTAAACATCCTGTTGTGTTACGGAAACACAAAGCAGGCTGACTTCTACTCAATTCAAAGGATCTTTATTGACACCCTGAGAAACACAGAACCGTATGATTGGCTGACACCACTGACCGTGACCACAAATGAGAGGAAACGTATCTCAAAGCTTGTTTCACACCATCTGAAGGAAACGTGTCATTTCACCTGGAAAAACATTTCAGAACTAACGTGTCCTGAGGAGAGAAAAACAGTGTACAGTCAGTTTATTATTTAATTTTATTTATTTTTTATTATCTAATGTGGAGTTCATCAGACTGAGGTCATTATTTAAAGCAGCTGTGCGGAACTTTACATTTTCGTTGATTATAATGCCCCCTTTGGTCGAAGCGGTATGACACCCACAGCCTGGTGTCGTAAAATTCTGACTGCAGCTGGCATTTGGCTTCATTCGTAAAATCTCAACTGCAACCAGCAATTACAGCATGCATTTGTTTTGGAGAGCGAGAGGAAAAATCATAAATGTTCTGGTGTAGCTCTAATTTCTTATAAACTGAGGACAACTGCCTGCTGTATATTTGTGTTCATGGTCACAGTCACAGATAATTTTGTGGCGTTTGTTGTAACGTTACTAGATAAAAGCAGCTAACGTTACATTTAGATTGCTTATAACTTCCATGTCGTCATATATTGAAGTGAAACAACGTCTAACAAGTTGCGGTATATTCTCTGAATAAGAACAAAAATTACATACCTGTGGATTAGGAAAAGGGCCAACTCAGGATCAGTTTTAAAACCTATCAATTCTCTCAGCTCTCTCCACTTGGTGAATGCCCAACCGAGGTTTACACGTGTTTGGGCTTGAGCGCTATCACTGTCCCGTTTAGCCTTCTTCTGTTCTTTTTCTTTTAGATGGTGCTCCTTCTTTATCCGCCATGACATCGAAAGTACAACCAAGTCCTTATAGAAACATCTGGTAAAACTGTTATGTGTTCAGCAATGCCAGTTGCGTACCGCTTACTCGAAGAACTCGAAGTTCATCAAAATCAGTTCATTATTTAATGTGGAGTTCATTAGACTCAGGTCATTATTTAATGTGGAGTTCATCAGACTCAGTTTATGATTTAATGTGGAGTTCATCAGACTCAGTTTATGATTTAATGTGGAGTTCATCAGACTCAGTTTATGATTTAATGTGGAGTTCATCAGACTCAGTTTATGATTTAATGTGGAGTTCATCAGACTCAGTTTATGATTTAATGTGGAGTTCATCAGACTCAGTTTATGATTTAATGTGGAGTTCATCAGACTCAGTTTATGATTTAATGTGGAGTTCATCAGACTCAGTTTATGATTTAATGTGGAGTTCATCAGACTCAGTTTATGATTTAATGTGGAGTTCATCAGACTCAGTTTATGATTTAATGTGGAGTTCATCAGACTCAGTTTATGATTTAATGTGGAGTTCATCAGACTCAGTTTATGATTTAATGTGGAGTTCATCAGACTCAGTTTATGATTTAATGTGGAGTTCATCAGACTCAGTTTATGATTTAATGTGGAGTTCATCAGACTCAGTTTATGATTTAATGTGGAGTTCATCAGACTCAGTTTATGATTTAATGTGGAGTTCATCAGAC